CTTGTTCCAAGTAGGTGCTTTAGACCACTGAGCCATCTCACCAGCCCCTTAGTGACTTTTTCAAACCATTTTTTAGAGGTTATATTCGCTGTTTAGCCAGTGAGGTTTTTTTACTGTTAGCTTAGTGGTTAATGATTTGACAGATTCCCTTAAACACCCAGAAACAAATAAAAATGACTCCTGGTGTCTGCAGGCCAGCCCTGAGTGGGCACTCCTTCTGTCACATTCAGGCTGTTTAAAGCCCTGCCTTAGCCGGATGTGGTGGCAGATCCCTGTATTCCCAGATTCTCAGGAGGCCGGAGCAGGAGAATTGACAATCTGAGGTTAGCCTGGGCAATTTAGTGAGATCTTATCTCAAAATAAAGAGGAAAAACATCTGGTGGGGGTGTTACCTCAGCGGTAGAACCCTTGCCTAGCACGTGTGACACCCTAGGTTGAATCCCCAGTGTCAAAGAATTAAAATAGGGCCGGGGAGATAGCTCAATAGAATAAGCACTAGCCTGGCAAGTGCAAGACCCTGAGTTCAATCCCCTGTACTGAAAAAAAAAAAAAAGAAAGAAAGAAAGAAAAGAATAAAATAAAATTCTGGCCAGGTGTGCTGCTGCACATTTGTGATCCCAGCACTAGGGAGGCTGAGGCAAGACTGTGTCAGAGCGAGAGAGAGGCTCTGCCTTAGTCTTGATTGATTGATTGATTGATTGATTGATTGATTGATTTTTCCTGTAGAACCTAAAATCAGCCAGAAGTGAAAAGTTTAAGGTCCTGTGGTCTTTTCTGACCAGCCCTGGACATAACATGTGGCCTTCTGGATTTTATGGTATAGGAAGAACTTTTCAAAATTATCATTTCTCCAGTCAGCTCCTTTCCTAGTCCTGTCCCGGCTTTTCGGGCAGCCGACTGCTTGCCCTGTGCACCCTTGGCTGATACATCTGCCTCTCCACGCTTTCAACGACCATACCCGAGAAGCGCAGTTTCTGGCTTGGGGAAACTATGCCAAGGGAACTGAAGTGAGCCAACCCTTCAGGTGGGCCAGACGGATCAAAGTGCAGAACCACCAGCCTGCGGGATTAAGTCTATATTGCTGCCCCCTGAACGCACCAGCAGACAGGGAGCGAGGGCTGAGCAGGGGCTGGGGCGGGGGGCAGGAAGCCGGGTTGTGCAGATCCACAGCGCACTCTCTCCTCAGTGCAGCAGCAGATCCTAGTCAGTGTTCCTGGAGACACTTTCCTCAGTTCTGAAAAATGTCATTCTGATAGTTTTTGCCAGGCCAGTGACTGGGTTTTGTGTGGAGTTGTAAAGTTCCCTCCGTAATTTTCAGTGATACCATGTCCAGGTCGTTCAGTTTTATCTTATTTATAGCAATTAGAAGTATGTTGCTTCCTTAAAAGTAAGTCAAGAAAACAGAAGTTCACAACTGGTGACCATCTTGGGTAATTACTAGTATATAAGTTACTCCACAAACTAGATATGTCACATGGTCAAAGAAGCACAAAACCAAGCAATAGATTTTGTGTGTGAATGGCACCTGAAGGGCTCCCATTGGAATAGACAGTCAGCCACACATATATTCAGAGGCACCGATTTCCTTCATAAAGCCATTTTTAGATAAGTTTGAGATATATTTACATTGGAAAATATGGTATGGATGTGTGTATATTTTTTTCCACTAGTAATTCATTGATGAAATAGGATCCTGATTTTAAACAGTAATTTACTGTACCAGGATTTAAAAATTATTGAACAACAAAAATAAAAGAAACATGAAAATTTAAATTTTTAAAGTCTATTTTGGAAGAATAATCTGGAATACAATTTTTTTTAATTTTTAAAGAAATCATTTATTTATTTATTTATTTGGTACAGGGTCTTGCTAAGCAGCTTGGGCTTGTAGTGATCCTTCTGTCTCAGCCTTCCCAGTGCTGGTATGACAGGCGTGTGCCACCACACCCGGTTTTAGTGACTAGCACAGTGTTCCCGGGGTTCTGGAGCTGGAATGGCATGCAGTACAGGGGATTGAACCTGAGTCCTTGTTCTCGCCAGGCAGGCGCTTAGACTGCCAAGCTATCTTCCTAACTCCTGGAATACAATTAACATCCAATAATCTATAGCCTGAGTCCATTTGAATGAATACTCATGTTTCTCAGTTACACTGGGGAGAAATGGCTTTGGATTTATATTTAAAAAATCCGTAACTGAATAAACATGGATAGCAAACCTGTATTTAGGTCCCATTTCAGGAAAAAGTATGGTGGAGCACTCAAGCTCACTGTTCCTGCCCCAAGTCTAAGAAATGTGGATTTTTAAAACTTAGCATGGGCCAGGGAGATAGTGCAGTAGAATAAGTGCTTGCCTGGCAAACACAAGGTCCTGAGTTCAATCCCCGCTACCGCAAAAAAAAAAATCATTCTAGAAGGAAGCCATGATACACAGTTATACTCAAAATTACACTCCTAGCAGGTTTGCATGAAAAATTATCTTTGTCCGTCATTTTGGAAAAAAACTTTGGATTAGGCTTACATCTAAAAATTTCACTTTTGGGAAGGAAATGCTTACATAGGGCTAAGTGCAGAAGAGGATTCTTTGGTCTGAATTTGGATCTGTAAAAAAACAAATCCTGTTTTGGGGCCATGATAGAACATATGGTGTAGGTGCGGCATACATCTCACAATATGCCAGGCGTGGTGGTGCATGCCTGTAATCCCAGCACTCAGGAAGCTAAGACAGGAAGATCACCAAGATGTTGGGAAGCCAGCCTGGGTTACATAGTGAGTTCAAGGCCAGCCCAAACTACATAGCGAGACCCTATCTTTGAAAAAAAAAAAAACAAAAAACCAACAACAACAACAAAACCGATGAAATAGGGCGGGAGATACAGCTCAGAGGCGTAAGTGCCTGCCTGGCAAGTGCAAGATCCTGAGTTCAACTCTTGGTACCAAAAATATTAAAAAATAAAAATAATAAAGCAAAAATGAAGATACATTTTATCTTAAGACTTGTAAACTAGAGATGCCTATCAACATCCAATGTTGATTCAAGGCCAGGATAAGACCAATAATGTTTCTATTTTTAAAAATGGAAAAATAGGCCCCAGGTGCCAGTTCATACATTTCAAAACCAGGCCAGGCACATGCCCTGAGCTCCTCAGTGCCAGCACTACCCCACCCCATCCCCAGAAACTCTCTACCATTTTGCATCTACATTCTGAGTTTTTTCTGCTTTTGTCATAAGGAATAGTGTCTGCCTCCATGCCCACAGAAAGGTAGGGACTCTCTGTCCAATGCAGACCACACTGGTGTTTTGGTTGTAAATCTCATGGATTTCCTACACTTATTGAAATTCACCTCATCACATAAAACCATATCCACAAAAATCTTCAAGCCAAGGCTTTCTGGTTTGGATTGAGTGTCACAGTGCTATGGGACTTAAAAAGTCAAAGAACGGGAGAGAAAACATTCTCTCAGGCTTTCACAGAGAGCACATTGGCCAAGCAATGGCCGTGACTCATCCACATGGCTGACACTGACAAAGGTTCTACAATCTGAGGTGCAGGATCTCAGGATAAATCCTGAGGGGATTTCACTGACCTTATCAGACCCAAAAGCTACAACTCTTGTTGCATAGGTCCTGCTTTACCTTGGTCTTGGCCATCCAGCAGAAAATTATAAAAACGAAATATAAGAAGTAAAGCCATGCTATTATGTTGAGCTGTGGGGGACTCAGGTCAACAATTTTTGACATTGCCAATCAAGCGGAAGACCCAATACTATTATGGGCTACTGGACTCTTTTGGAATATTTTGCCTAGTTTACACACCTATAATATTCAAATAACAGAACTTAACAAAAAATGGTATACAGATGATTGTATCTGTGTATTCAAAGTGGTTTGGATAGATATATAGTTACATTCTCTTAATAAATAGAATGATTCTTGTACAGCAATTAACCACTAGGAAGAATGTATGCAGTGTGTTAATTATTGAAACTGTCCTACCAATTTGATTTGCAACTGTCTCATTGCTATTTGTTTATCAATAAAATTATGGGAAAAAAGTCAAAGAACCTATTTTGTGTATTCTGGAGTAACACACTTAAATCTTCTGGGGGTCTTGAAACGGTCTTACAGCTATACCTGAGAGATCTTTAAAGGGCACTTATTTTGAACAAAGCTTCTTTGAATTGGAGCACACTTCAGTACGGTTTCAGAATCTTTAAGCATGGCAAAGTATCTTTATTTCTCCAATTGGAGAACGATCAAGGGTAGGGGGTAAGGGGTCTGAGACCAGTTGACTGTCGTGGGCACTGGGTGAACGCCAAGGAGCACAACTGAGTCCGCACTCTGCTATCATGGGGCTGATTTGGAGTGTGGCTTTAAGCATCCTATCCTTGTTGAGACTCAGGAAGGCGTGTGGTTATGCTGCCAGTTACCGCACCCTGAGGTGCTATAAGCCATCATTATTCACACTGTGGTGTCTGAGACCCAAGGTTCTGAGATTAAGGAACTGAGTGGTCACTGCCACCGTGACCAGGTCCTCGAGTCTGGGGCACTGTGAAGTGCCAAGAGGCCCCCAGCATGGGAAGGCCAGGGACCAAAATCGAAAGAAAACAATGAGGGCAATGAGGGTAGTTTGGGATGGTTCAGAAAAGGGAGGCATACAGAAAATGAGAGGCACGGGAAAAGCAAGCCAGGCAGCTGCCTCAGGGCAAGCGAAGGAGGTGCCTCCACAAGGGGAAACTGGGCTGTAGGGAGCCATTTTCTGGGAGGTTATCTCCTTTGCCTGCAGTCTGTACACAGCTCCAACTCCCCAGAGAAAGGGCCACATGGTGACTCGGTCCAGTATCTGCCAAGGAACTGGCGTGCAGTGGAACAGTGGACTTGGGAGTAGTAGGTATCTGTACCCTTCCTCCGGTCCTGTGAGAATGAAGTACACAGCCAAGGCTCCAGATTTGGAAAGAAGCAGTTTATTAGAACGAAAGGCCACAAAACATGGAAAAGACTTTGTGGAAAGAAAGCAAACTAAGTCAGTGTCCTCTGAGCACTTACAGAATAGCTTTTTCCATTCCATTTGAGGGCAGTGTAAAAATAGTGACCAGTAGTCCTGTGCACCACCTTCACTTTGAAAGCGAATCCCAGAAGTCAGAGCCCTGTCTGGAGTGGGCCTCAGAGCCCACCTGTGACAGGGGTTTGTGGTGGCCACACCTCGTCTTCCGGTGCCTGCTGAGCTGAGCCCTGTGCCCAAAGCCTCGCCCACACACGGGACACGCGTAAGGCGGCGTCCCCTTGTGTGCCAGCTGGTGTGAAGCCAGGAGCGACTTCCGGAAGAAGCCCTGGCCACACTCGGCGCACACGCAAGGCTTTCCTCCTGAGTGCACCCGCCTGTGCCTGATTAAAGTGGACTTGGTGCCAAAGCCCAGCCCACAGAGCCGGCACGCATAAGGCTTCTCCTTGAGATGCTTCCGCTTGTGCCTGATGAGCCCTGCCTGGTGGCTGAAGCCTCGGCCGCATTCCCGGCACACGTATGGCTTCTCCCCCGAGTGCGTCCTGCGGTGGGCCATGAGGTTGGACTTCTGACTGAAGCCTTTGCCGCAGTCCTCGCACACCAGGGGCTTCTCCCCAGAGTGCGTGCGCTGGTGGCGGACCAGGTTGGACTGCTGGCTGAAGCCGCGCCCGCAGTCCTTGCACGCGATGGGCTTCTCCCCGGAGTGGGTGTGGCGGTGCCTGTTGAGATGCGACTTGAGGCTGAAGCCCCGGCCGCACTCGGGGCACACGTAGGGCTTCTCGCCAGTGTGCGTGCGGCGGTGTGAGATGAGCGTGGAGTTCTGGCTGAAGCTGTGTCCGCACACCCCGCACACGTACGGCTTCTCCTTGGAGTGCGTGCGCTGGTGGTTGACCAGCGTGGTCCTCTGCCGGAAGCAACGGCCGCACTCCGTGCACGCGTAAGGCTTCTCGCCTGAGTGCGTGCGCTGGTGCGAGACAAGGTTAGACCTGTCGCTGAAGCCCAGGCCACAGTCGCCGCACACGATGGTCTTCTCCTCGAGATGCGTGCGCTGGTGCCTGACCACAGCCGACTTCTGGCTGAAGCCCTTGCCACACTCGCGGCACACATAGGGCTTCTCGCCTGAGTGTGTGCGCTGGTGGATGATGAGGTTGGACTTCTGGCTGAAGCCGCGCCCGCACTCCCCACACGCGTACGGCTTCTCCCCCGAATGTGTGCGCTCATGGATGACCAGCGTGGACTTGCGGTTGAAGCCACGGCCGCACTCGCCGCACACGATGGGCTTCTCCCCGGAGTGCGCCTTCTGGTGCCGGGCCAGGCTCTTCTTCAGGCTGAAACCCTTCTCGCACACCCCACACACATACGGCTTGGCGCCCGCGTGCACGCGCTGGTGGCTCAGCAGGTTGCTCATCTTGCTGAAGCCCAGGCCGCACTCGCCGCAGTTGACTGTCCCAAACCGTAAAACCTCGAAGCTTGTCAGCAACTTGTCTGTAACCTCAGGGGTCCCTAGCCGAGCTGCGCTGGCCTCCACCTCCACCCCGTGGAGGCCTCTGGCCAGCTGTCCCTGCAAGGGCCTGGAGAACACACCCACGCCCAAAGTCCTTCTCTTTGTCTTCTCAAAGGAAGGCATGGTGGCCTCACTGTCGGCACCCTTGGCCTCCACACCCCAGGCACGCCCCTCCAAGGCTTGTGGCTGCTTCTCCTGGTCCTCCAGATCCGATGGGCAAGGAGCCCCAGGCAAGACAGGCCTTCCTGTGTAAAAGCACGTTAACAGCCAAGGGGGCTGGCTGCACAGCATGCGCTGCACAGGGAATTTCTGAGCAGAGAGATCTGGAGGGCAGAAAGGACCTGGCTGGAGTTCTGACTTTGGTTCTGCTGCAGAGAGAAAAGCCAGTGTCAGAAGGAAGGCCTCAGAGGACAGCCCCTGCAAACTGCCCAAACGGTGCTGAACCCCAATCCTGTCCTTCAAACGCCTGAGAGTGATGTGAGATCTGACCCTCCATGGAGGAAGCAGCATAACTGAGCACTCAGAGAAAGTGCGTAGACACCACGCAGGCTGGCCCAGCCCACAGGTGACAAGTGTGTATGCGGGAGTGACTGTGTGCCAGGCTTTCTACAAGACAGTAGGTCCAAAGCAGTGCACAACACAGTGTTGATCCTCTTTGTCTTTAAGGAAAGGGGCTCCCTCCTATAGCCCCCATCTAATCTCTAAGCTCTGCTAACATCCACAATTATTGTAAATCAAATTCTAGGGCTAGGGAAATAGATCAGTAGAATAAACGCTTGCCTGGCAAGTGTAAGATCCTGAGCTCAATTCCCAGTACCACAAAAAAAAAAAAAAAAAAAAAAAAAATTCTTCCCAGCAATCAGTGGAAAAGGTGTTGGGCTAGGGATAAAGCCCAATGGTAGAACAACTACCCAGCATGTGCAAGGCCTCAGGTTCAATGACCTGCACTGCAATAGGGGGGAGAGGACAGGAGAGACAGAGAGAGGGGGAATAGAGAAACCAGTATCAGGCTTACTGCATCTACCTAAATGTTCTTTCCTATACCAATGAATAATAAAACTTACTAGATCCAGGTATGCATCTGTATTCCAGAATGATTCCATCCTAAATAGTCCATCTGAGGAGCAGCAGTCTGGGCTGTCACCTGCCACCCTCCCTCCCCACCCAGGCACTATAAACCTCCCACTCTGATACTCAGGGCCACTCTGGGCAGCTGGCCCAGTGACTCCCTCTCTCCACAGTGACTCAACCCTGTCTGTTTTCATTTATTTTCCATAAGCTTATTTTCTAAGGTTCCTAAACTTAGAGATGACAGAATTCCAGCCTCTCCCCTGGGTGTTTTTGGACACCATCAGCAGGCTATTTCCTTCTTGACCCAACAGAAGGGGGCGCGGATGACATCCTGCCTGCTCACAAGGCACTCCTGTATCTGTTCTGGGTGATCTGATAACAGTGACTCTGACACAGGAAGTAACCCCCACCTGCATGAGGGAACCAGGACCTCCAAGGCAGACACTAACATGTATGCCCACACGGTAATCAGAGGGCTTTTATCTACAGGAAGCAGAGCTCAGAACTGTAGGGGGGCCCTTCAGAGAAATGTTAGCATCTACACGGAGAACAGGAGAAACAGGAAAGTGAAATGGTAATTTTCCATAGGTCAGTCTTTTCAGATATTTGTAAAGTGCCATCATGTGTACACTGTAAGACTATTTAGTCTGAGAAACTGAACACAAAAACTTACCAATTTTTTTTTTTTTTTTTTTTGTACCAGAAATCAAACTTACAACTTTGCACTTCCAGGCAGGCACTGTGTCACTGAGCTATATCCTTGGCTCCCCAAATTACATTAATGAATTAATTTATAAGTTGTTGTTATTATTTTTATTTGTGTGTGTGTGTATGTGTGTGTGTGTGTGTGTGTGTGTGTGTCCAGCTCAGCCCACCAGGGGGCGGGGCTGGCTGGCATGTGGTGCTGGGGGATTGAACC